GTGGCCGAGATTCAAGTTCGCTGCTGCTCGGGTCACTCGCGCGCCCGCCCGCGCATCCGCCCCTGGCCGGATGAGCAAAGCCCTTGGGCAGGGCCCGGCTGGAAGGGTGGGGCCGGGGAGGGCACCTGTGCCCAGCGGGGTCCACCAGGCTTCAGGGAATCAGGGGTCAGGGTGACTGGCAGGGGGGTGGGCAGGGACGGAGAAGGGACGGCGGCCGGTGAGGCCTTAGGAGAGGGCCCCTTCCTATCCTAAGGCGGCCCCTCGTGGGGCTCTCCTTTTCCTTCAGGCGTGAGGGGTCCCCACCCCACCCCAGGCCTGTGGAGGGGGACCTGGGGTCCCTCTTCCCGGCCCTGAGTGTGTGGCCGCTGCCCACACTGAGGAGGAAGGAGGTCCTGGCTCGGGGAGGTGCCTGGATCCCAGGACCACCGGTGATGTGGGCAGCTGAGGGCTGTGATCCAGGAGTGGCCCCGGGGTGCCCGCTGCGCCCCGTGGGGGCCTCCCCTTCCCGCCAGGAGGCAAGCCCAAGCCCACAGGGAGGGCCCTGCCTCTGCCCGCCCAGGAGAGGACCCCAGCGCAGCCAGGGAGGCTCCTTGTGGACGGGCAGGGGCCTGAGTTACCTCTGTCCAGAGCCTCCGAGCCCCCGTGGCCGGCCTCAGTGACCAGGGTCGGAAGCCGGCTCCCTGTGACCTGGATTTGCCTATGAACACACACGTGTGCACATGCCAGCACACAGAAGGGCTGCATCTCTGGGCTTTGGGGTTACAAGTCCTCCTCCGGGTCCAGGACAGGAAAGGGAAGACCACCCGGGGCTCCAGGTCCAGCACTTTCACTCCATTTGCAAGAGTGATGCCCCTTCTCCGCCACGCACTGGGGTCCTCTGAGATGTCACAGGAACAGGAGCCCTGCTGCTCCCCTGGCAGGGTGACCCGCCGTGCCTGGGCACAGGCGGACAGCAGTGTCCCCGGTGCTGTGAGGTGGTCCCCATGGCCCCTCCGGGCCAGCTCAGCCCAGAGTGGGGGCCAGTGAGCCGGGGCCAGGGCTACGGACAGAAATGAAACCCGAGGGACAGCCCAGGGGACCAGCCATCTGTCATCTGGGGGCAGGTGTTGGCTCCAGCAGCCCGCCTGCACACTCCCCACCCCGTGGCTGGTGGACGGCACCCCCCTCCCCGCAGGGCCAGGCCGGAGGGGCGCGGCCGGTCCCTCTGCAGACCCCTGGGTGCTACCTGCTTCTTTATGATTTTTATGATTTATTAAAAGCACTGTTTCTCGCTCTGCATATTTCTTCTTTTTTCCCATTGGGGTGAAATTCACATAACATAAAAAACCGTATTCATGTGAAGAATCCAGTGGCATTTCATGGAGTCAGTGCCGCGTAGCTGCCACCTTTCCCGAACGTTTCCATTGCTCTAGATCAGCCCCGCACCCGGAAACCCTAACTGCCCAACCGCCTGCCCTCCGGCCCCAGCAGGCACCCATCGGCACCCTGTCCCTGGACACTGACACCGCGGAGCAGGGGCACTCGGTGCGTGGCCCTTGTGCCTGGCTTCCTCCACTCGGCACCAGGACGTCACGTTCAGCCGTAGCACGTCATGTGCCCCCTTTTCACGCCAAGCATGTTCCACGGTGGGACACGCACGTGGGGTGTCCGGTGCTGCGGGGACAAGATTGTAGTATGAGGGACATGCAGGGAGGTGGCCCGCCCCACCCACCTGGGCTTAGCACCCGGCTTGTTTGGGGGATCTGCGTTAACCTTTTGGAAGAATAGTCAGGAGCATGGACTCTTCCGAAGCCCATCCTGGTCACCCCGCTCTTGAGAACTGACGACACGGTCCCTTGGACAGAGACATATCAAAACGCCACCTGCAATGACAAAAACAAGGGGACCTGCTGGAGGCCCAGTGGGTGGCCAGTCAAGGAGGGCACTGGGACACCCCTAGCTCCCCGGCCTGCACGGAGCTGTTTTAGGTCACCCAGCGGTAGTGCCACATGGTGAACGTCCCCAGGGCAAGAGAGACCTCACGGCCACTATGACAACAGGCAGAAACTGGCACAGAGGGGAGCTGGTGGTTCAGGGGTTGGGAAGATGTTTCTGCAAAATCGGTGGTGTGTCCCTTTCTGGTCCCCCTGTTCTCACCCTCGTGACTGCCCTGTGAGAGTCCTGCCTGGGGAGAGAGGCCAGCCCTGCTCCATGTGCCCCAGGGGACACTGCTGGCCTGGCTCCCTGGCCCCCCAAAGTGACCCCAGGCACAAGGTGGCTGCCCAGCCTGGCTGCTTAGCAGAGGAGGCCTCCTTCTCCAGCATCTTTTGCTGTCTTCCTAGGCTCGCTGGCCAGCCTGCACCCCCCAGTGACCATGGTGGCACCAGCCAGCCCCCTCCAGGACCCCAACACCTCCTCGCCTCTGTGAGGCCAGCAGGCAGGGTGGGACCTCTTGTGACTGACAGAAACTCTGCTCTCCCCACCCCCACCGCGGGCTCAGGGAGGCTGGGCACTGCTCATGGTAAGTCTGCCCGGCCTGGTGTGGATGCGCCAAGTGCCAGTGAGCCCCTGGGGGCAGCCAGCACCAGGATGGAGTGCCCAAGAAGGGTGGAGGGACAGCTGAAGCCCCAAGCTGTAAACAGGCCAGGCGGCAACAGGTATAAAGGCTGGAGCCCCCGCAGCCTCTTAGCACCAGCCTGACCCGCCTCCCAGAGCAGAGCCTCGAGGGAAGCCCGGCGGAGGTGAGCCCACCAGGGAGGGGTAGCCTGGGCCCAAGCGTGCGCCTCAGCAGGATCCTGGGACCCCAGGCAGGTCCAGGGAGCCCCAGTCTGAAGGCAGCTGCAGGGGTCTGCAGGGAGGTGGGCACGTGGGCCTGTGCAGGTAAAGAGGGCAGCTGTGATGGGGAAACTGAGACCTAGCAGCTGACCTGGGGACCCCAAGGACTGAAGGGGGCAAGGAGGCCTGGCAGGCCCCAGGGTCCAAGCAGACGGACCCACTGACTCTGGGGCCCTGAGACGGACACACTGAGCCAACTCTGGGGCCCTGTGCCAGCCCGTCCAGATGGGGCCCCTGCTGCACCCATCACCTCTCCCCCCCTCTGGCCCATATCAGCACCTGAACCCACTCAGGGATCACTGGCTATTGCTGGATGCAGACCACAGCCCTCAGGAGGCCATGTGGGCAGTCCAGTGGTCTGGGGGGAGGTGCCTGCCAGCCTTGGGGGGCATCCAGGACACAGCAGCGCTGGGACACGTGAGGGTCTGAGGGGTCTCAGCCAGGCGTTAAAGCCCTGGCCAGCTCTGGCTGNGCCCCCTCTGCCCCATATCAGCACCTGAACCCACTCAGGGATCACTGGCTATTGCTGGATGCAGACCACAGCCCTCAGGAGGCCACGTGGGCAGTCCAGTGGTCTGGGGGGAGGTGCTTGCCAGCCTTGGGGGGCATCCAGGACACAGCAGCGCTGGGACACGTGAGGGTCTGAGGGGTCTCAGCCAGGCGTTAAAGCCCCGGCCAGCTCTGGCTGTGGAGGGCAGTGAGGTGGGAGGGGAGGGAGGGATAAAGGGGGCTGGACCCTCGCAGGGCCCAAAGCCTTTCCCCACCATCTCCCTTTCCTCGCGGCTCCTCACGTGACCCTGTGAGGGGGCCGAGCAGACAGGGGCCCACCCAGGGTCAGGAAGCAGGCCCCAGTCCCAGGGCTGCCAGGGTTGAGTGCAACCTCTGAGACTCCTCCGACCACGGCCTGGGCTGCTCAGACCCGCCGGCCACAGGGCAGGCCCTCCCAGGAGCAGGAGATGTTCCAGAAGGTTCCATCCCCCGGTGAACTTTTGAGAGGGCCAAGCAGCCTCTGAAATAGCTGCTTTGCCACGAGCCCCAGAACCTAACCCCCCCTCTGGGGACAGCAACCCAAGAGCTCAGTAGGTCATAAGGCACTACTGTGAGGGGCACAGGACAGCCTGGTCCCTGACTGCTGGCCCCTTTCCTGTGCCCAGACCCCTGCCTGCCTTGGGGGCACTTGCCTTGGTGGCTCTGCATGAAGTGGGGACAGGGTCATGCACATGTGTGCTCAGGGGCTGTGGGCAGATGTACCTCCTGAGGGCCTGGAAAGGAGCAGTGGTCACCCCGCTTGATGGAGAGTTCTGGGCCTCCCTCAGTCCAAGGCCAGCTCCAGACTGGCCCAGACCCAGCACACCCCACCACAGGTGGTCAGCGTCCAGCAGGGACGACCAGGGCCCACTGTCTGGGGGCCGGGAGAGTGAGGCCAAGCCCCTGGGCCTTGAGTTTTGGCCAGAAGAAGTGATGCTTAGGTAACCAGGAAGGCTTCCCAGAGGAGGTGGCTTTGAGATGGGCCTTGAAGGACACAGGGAATTCCCCTGGCAGCACGGAGGGATCGGATGGTTGCCAATGCCACCTCTCCTGAGCAGAGTGAAGGAACTGCTGTGCATCGCTTACCGTCTCAGACCTTTAGTCTCTTCTGTGAAATGGGTGAAATACCTCAAGGTGTCCAGCTAGCAAGAGGTGGGGGCTCAGGCTCGTCCTCCTTGGGGCCCTGGGCACAGGGGCCTCTGCAAGATCGGGGGCCCCGAGGCCTGGCCTGGGCCCCTAGGGACCCCACTCAGGGCAGGAGCCGGCACCGTGCAGGGTCCGAGCGGAGGGCCCCTCCCGCTGCGCACACTGAGCTGGCTCCTGTCCTCCCAGATGAAGAAGGTGGCCTTGGCCATGGGCACCTCCCTGTCGGACAAGGACCTAGACCTGCTGCCCACGGACATGAGGCATCACGGTACAGCCGCCCCCTCTCGAGGCACCCCCGCCGGGCCGGCCCACCGTGGCGGAGGAGGCAGTGGGCTCGGGGAGTGGGGGGCGGCCTGCGAGCTCCTCCCGCCCTGGGCTGACCGGCCAGGACACGGGGGAGGGACAGACCCAGCAGCCCCCACCCCAGGGCAGGGCCTCCCTCTGGGCCCAGCCCCCCTGAGGCGGCGCCGCTGACCCGACCCGGTCATCCCAGGCTCCTTCAACTACCTCAAGTTCTTCGAGTACATGCAGAAGCTCCAGGCCTCGGGGCAGCTGGAGGGCGTCATCCGCAAGGCCTTCCAGACCCTCGACAAGGACAAGAGCGGCTTCATCGAGTGGAACGAGATCAAGTAACAGGCAGTGCGCGAGGGCGGGTGGGGGCTACTGGGGGGCTGAGCCCGGCCCCGCCTGGTCCATGCCACCACGCCCACCCCAGCAGACCCGACACCCCCAGTGGCCCCCCCTGACCTTTCGGGAGGCAGGGCCGGGCTGCCCAGGGCCACAGGGACAGCACCAGACCCGGCTCTAGCTGGGCCTCAGTTTCCCCACCTGTAAAGTGGGGAGCGAGCACTTGGCAAACCATCCGGCACTGGCCAGACGCCCTGGCTCTGACCCGGGTCCACCTGGCCCAGGTACGTCCTGTCCACCACCCCCAGCAGCGGGCCCGCCGCCCCGCTGACAGATGAGGAGGCGGAGGCCATGATCCAGGCAGCCGACGCCGACGGGGACGGGAGGATTGACTTCGAAGGTGGGCAGCACTGACGGGGGTCGTGTCCTTCCCGCCCCGCCCCTCCAGGCCGCCCCGGGGTCGCTCACACTCCAGCAGCTGGCCCAGCATCACTTGTCCCTCTCGGTGCAGAGCTGAGCGGCTCCCCGCTGCCGGGCGCTGGCCTGTCCCACGAAGCTCACAGGCGTCTGGGATGGGTGCCACCCCCCCAACTCACGGATGGGGAAACTGAGTCTCAGAGATGCTGAGTGTGGCAGGGCTGTGAGGGCCACTGAGCTGGCTTTAGGGAAGGTCACCTGGGCAGCCTCAGGCCAAGGGTCCCTGGTAGGATATTGGGGGTGGGGCACATTCAAGGTGAGGAGGGAGGCAGGAACCAGGGCCTGAGGGGCTGCAGGGGTGGACACAGAAGGAGGGAGGTGGGTGGGTGTGGGCTGCGGCCCAGGGGACGNACGGGAGAATTGGCATTTGTGGGGCTGCAGGCCTTCCCTGAGGCTCTCCTGTGGTTTGGGTCATTCTGCACCCGCACCCTCCCCAGCTGCCACCCTGGGCCTGGGGGGCAGGGGTGGAGGGCAGCCAGGTGGTCCTGGGAAGGGGGAGCATAGGCTTAGGGCCCCAGGCAGAGGAGCCTCCAGACACCCCGCCAGCTGGGGGCCCATCTTCACTCCCAGGCCTCCGCTCCTGCAAACTGACTTGTGGGGTGGCCGAGAGGCTTGCTTAAGACTGAGCCCCCAGCCCCTCCGTGCCTCAGTTTCCCCAATGAAGATGGGCAGAGGCTCTGAATTTGGAGGGTCTCTGCCAAAACCCAGTCCATCCTGAACCCCAGGTGGGTGGGTGCAGGGCACCCAGCATGTGTGGGTGCTCGGGCAGGGCAGTTTTGGTCCCTCTTGCTCCTTGGCAGGGCTCAGAGGGCAGGACGCAGGGCCCCAGCACTGTGGGGTCCCTGCTCATAAAGGGGGCACACCTCCCCGTTGGACCTGCAGGGCTCTGGCAGGGGCACAAGGCAGGGGGGTTCTTTACTAGACATCTGTCTTCTGCTCTAGAATTTTCTGAACTGATCAAAAAGGAGAAAATCCCAAAGAAGAAATAGCACCACGCCCAGCCCTGGCCCAAGGGCCTGAGGGGCAGGGGGACAGCGTGTGCCCCGCCAAGGAGACGGTGGAGGTGGGCGAGACCTGTGCCAGGGAAATGGAGTAAAACCAGCATTAAATGAACGACTTGGCCTGTGTGTGTTTGTGGGGCGGGTGCTGCATGAGCTGGGGGCAGGGTTGCAGGTCTCTGGGGACAGCTGAGGGGAGCGCAGGTGAGCATGTCCAGCCCCTATCCCTGTCCCTCCGCCTCCCCTTGTCCCCACCTCACTGCAGGCTCCCACAGAGGGTGATCCCATCACCAGCCCTGGCCCCTCCCAGAGGCCCCCCCACGATGCTCTCTGGGCCCAGACCCCTCCGGGAGCTCCTTCCAAAGCCCGGCTGAACTCTGCTCAGGATTCAAGCCAGGCTGGTCCCTGGGCCACCTGGGGCCCACAGAGCAGCTGTGTGAGCACAGCACAGGAACACCTGCAGCCCCAGGGTGTGCCCACGGGGGACCCAGGCGTGTGCCCTGGGCCACTCACTCTGGCCTGGACACGTCCAGGGGTCAGTTCTCTGCCTGCCTCTCCTTGCCTCCTCCTGCCTCCCCTTCATGCCCCACTTCTCCCCAAGCTCTTCCTAATGGAGGATCCCACCCACCCTGCCCC